GGGCAGACAAGAATGCCCTCAGAAAACGGTTCAAAGCCGTTACAGGTAGCGAACGGGAGGGGCTGTACGAAGTCTGGTTGCATTTAAAAAACAGACACAGTGCCCTCTGTCGCGCTGAGCGTTTCTGTGCCAACAGACGGAGAACCAAAAGGGAGCGAGAGAAATTCTTTAGGGACCCGTATCAGTTTGCCCGAGGTCTATTCGAGCAACCGAAGTCTGGGACTCTGGTTGTCAGTCAGGAAGAACTTGAGTCACATCTACGCAAGATGTACTCCGACAAAAAGAGATCCAGAGATCCTTAGCGGCCTCAAGCAGCCTTCGGTGCCGAAGGTACCATTTAAAATGATACCTCCCCTTTGGTCTGAGGTTGAGGAAGTTGTCAAAAAGGCCAGCGGCAAGTCTGCCCCAGGTCCAAACGGTGTTGAGTACGTTTTTTACAAGCGCTGTCCGAAAATCCTAAAAATGCTTCACGTCTTGTTGAGACAACCGTGGATCCGTAATCACATATGTCCTGAGTGGCAAAAGGCAAATGGGGTCTACATTCCCAAAGAGCAGGACTCGAAGAGTCTTTCCCAATTCAGGCCCATATCGCTGTTGAATGTCGAGGGTAAGATATTCTTCTCGGTCCTGGCTCGCTGGCTCACACAGTATCTGATGGCTAACAAGTACATCGATACGAGTGTTCAGAAGGGTGGAGCCAAGCATGAGAGAACCCAATTGCACGTGATATAGTTGGACTTAGCCAACGCCTACGGGGCAGTTCCCCCATAGGCTACTGTGGCGAGCTCTTCGCATGTTTCACGTACCGGCACAGATCAATCAATTGATTGAGCAATATTTCTCTAAGTTCGCTTTGCGCTTCTCTACCTCGACGTTTACCAGGAAGTGGACTGAGTTGCAGATTGGGATAGCTATGGGGTGTACGATCTCACCTATACTGTTTGTCATGGCCATGCAGATCATGTTAGACGGGGCGGCCGGTGGCGGACTGGGCCTTCAAATAGGGGATTACTGGATGCCGCCACTACGCGCATTTATGGAAGACACGACTATAATAACGGGCAGCGAGGAGTCTGCCCGCACGATCCTGAAAAGATTGGACGCGGTGGTCCAATGGAGCGGTATGCAGTTCAAACCGCAGAAGTTGAGGAGTCTGTCAATCCTTAAGGGCAAGGTGTCGGCAACCAGTTTTACGGTGGCAAGGAACAAGATCCCCACGGTTCATGATGAACCGGTGAAGAGCCTCGGTCGCGTTTACGATTCGAAGTTATCTGATAGAGCGGAAGTCCGGCGAATACACGAGTCACTGGCTACAGGCCTGCTCGCGATCGAGCGTTGCAGGCTGGTCGGTAAATTCAAGGTATGGTGTCTCCAATTCATGTTGATTCCAAAGCTCCTATGGCCACTGTTAGTCTACAAGGTGACGATGACTGCAGTGGAAACCATGGAGAGGAAAATCAACACAGCCTTGAGAAAGTGGATTGGTGCACCGCCTTGTCTGACCGACGTGACTCTGTATTGCAAACAGGCTAAGCTGGTACTCCCGTTCAAATCGATAACCGAAGAGTTTAAAGTTGGCAAAGTAAGACTCGCCATGCTCTTGCGCGAGTCTTCAGACCCAAATGTCATCGCTGTCCAGCCCGCTCTAAAGACTGGCCAGAAGTGGAGAGGCCCAGAATGCACTAAAATTGAAGGAGATAATGGGATACACTCAAACCGACCGTCGAGGCCTAGGGCACGGGAAGGTCAATTGGTGGTCAAAGGCCTCAGCCAAAGAGCGCAGAGACATGGTAATACAAATGGTGAGGGACAACGAAAACGAGGTTCGGGTTCAGAAAGCAGCCCAGCAGTCGCAGCAGGGCCATTGGGTCAGCCTGGAGAGCGCATTGCCAAGATTACTCACATGGGGTGAGATCTGGCGGATGACCCCGCTGCGACTGAGCTTTATCGTTCGTTCGGCGTACAATGTATTACCGTCCGGTGTTAACATGGTTAAATGGTCTGCGACTAACGATCCGACTTGCCCGTTGTGTAAAGCGAAGCAGACTCTAGAACACGTCCTGTCCGCGTGCAGGAAAGCCCTAGGTCAAGGCTGAAATACCTGGCGACACAACAAGGTGCTAAAAGAGTTAGCAGCCATTGTTGACCAGGCTAGAATGAGGGCTAACGCCAGAGCCAGTTCTACCATCGTCCCCATTCGTTTCCTCAAGGCTGGACAGGTTCCAAAAGGTAAGGTCAACCAAAACGCATTCGCTCCATCTGTGCTAGACTCTGCGAGGGACTGGTTACTGGCGGTTGATCTGCCGGGCCATGAAAGGTACCCCGAGTTGATCCGGAAGACCGGCCTGCGACCTGACATAGTTCTCCACTCTGCGCAAAAACGGCAGCTCATCCTGATTGAGTTGACCGTCCCGTATGAGTCGCGTATGGAAGAGAATCACACGCATAAGTTCGAGAAATACAGTGATTTAGCAGCCGGTCTGAGGAAAAACGAGGCGTACACAGTAGGGGTCTTTGCCGTCGAAGTGGGAGCGAGAGGCCTCGTTTCCACTTCGCTCTACAATGTGGTTAAAGAACTAGGATTGCGCGGTAATGAACGGAAACGAACACTTAAAAAACTGGACGAGGCAGCCGAAAGGGACTCGAGCTGGCTTTGGACGCAACGCAACAACGTAGGGGACGGGCCTCGGTGAGCTGTTCCGGGTTTCTAGTGGAAAAGGGTTTCTCACCCTTTGAAAGTCCATCGTGTCCGAATTGTCTGCCAGTGTTCCTCTGTCACCTGCTAACAAAAGTCCAACATGTGTCCGATAAACCAAACGTAAGCTTGTCGCTCGGTCGTCCAGGCATGCTGACTGTTCTAATTAGGCTACCGCAACGACTTCTTATCTCACAGTACCTTCTGCGAAACCACCAAGTCGTCTTGTCCCTATCCGAAAGAAAACACCATCCGGTAATCTCGTGCAGCAGGGTACCAGCCCTGAGCTTCATGAACTCAGGTGGGCCCACCTCCGAAAGTGTCTAGGAATCGTGGGCCGAAACACTTGTCGACGAGGATAATTTCTACTGACGACTGGTAGATCCCTGCTGTACTTGCTCCCTGTGAGTTTATTCCTACCCATGACTGCACTGCTAAGTTCGGGGTTGGTGAGGATGACAGTTTTTTTTAACATTGCCACAGATTGGTTGAACACAGATACTCTCACGTATTTTATTCGTCACAGTTTTTGGGGCACGAATATTCTAGAAGCCATTGGTTTTAAACAAGCGGTTTAGAGGATTTATAAAATTGGAAAAATACAGCCACTTTACGACAGACAGGTCCACGGTGTGGTGGTCGTGCGCAAAGTCCAACGTCATGTAGTCTGTTCCGAACAGTTTGATTAGACACATGACGCCCTGGAGGCAATGCCTGCGCAGTTGAGGAAACTGTTGTGAACCTCTCTGATGTGATGAAGCTGAATAAAGTAATTCTCTGCTGCTGTTGTCACTCTGGGTCGTCCACTGCGATGTCGGTCTTCAACTGAACCCGTGGCTTAGAACCTGTGGCAAAGTCGACTGATGTTACTCTGGTGCACGTTTAGATGCCTGGCAATCTGACTTTTATTTTCGTCTGTCTGCAATCGGCCAGTTGCAGTACTCCTGAAATGTATCGACAGAGTTGGCATTCGTGACTGCTTGAAAAATAAATTGAATGTTTTGGTGTAGCGTTTTCCTTTAATAAAGTTTTGATTGCGCAGGCAGTTAGTAGAGTTTACCCCAAATTGTGTTGCTTTCTCGTGCGCGCATCATGGTCTATTCTAACAAATATTATCTTAAACACAATTCACCACTGTGTTGTAACGATTACAAGCAATTCACAACTCATGTTCACTGGACACGGTAAATAATATTTGAGTCTGATTTTCACATACCCTGAGTACGATATTTTATTTAAAAACTGATCTTTATCATCATGTAGCAGGTCCTTTGCAGAACGTCGCTCTCATCATAGTCTGCCTGAAAGTATCTCGCCCGTTCTCCCGCCTCATGCACTTTCACACTCAAGAAGTCACTTATATCCTGTGCCCATCTTCGTGTCGGTCGGCCCCTGCGCCTTCTTCCTGGTACCATGCCTTCTGCTATAATTTAAAAAAAAATATTTTGTCCCTATAGTTGATCTTCAGCTCTACTTTTACAGGCTGGATATCTTTCGGATCTGGTCCATAAGACAGCTTTTCGACCTTTTCCTTCCGTATTGCCGATTTAATCTTGTATATTGATAAGAATGCGTTTGAACATAAAACTAACGATTTGATCTTAAATGTTGATGAGAACAAGTCTGAACATAAAACTAACGACGTGATCTTAAATGTTGATGAGAATACGTCAGAACATAAACTAACTGTTATTTTAGATCAGAGTGTGTATGTATGTGGGTTTTTTTTTTTTTTGGGGGGGGGGGGGGGGGGGCGAGAATGGGGAATGGTGCCGTATACATGAATATTTGACGCAGTAGAAAGCTGACCAATGTGTAACTGAGCTCACAAGAAATCTTCAGTGGTAAACTTTCGTTTATTTTAAGAAAATTACGGTTGTTTATATATATATATATATATATATATATATATAATATATATATATATATATATATATATATATATATATATATATATATATATATATATATATATTATATATATATAATATGGCTGTTGAAATAATGTCTTCTTTGTACATATTTTACGATTAGGAAAACATGAATACACCTGTTTAACATCACTTAATCAACACTTGTGTGACTTTAGTTCAGGAACTCTTATGTTGAGACATATCTTGTTTATTCTCAGGTCCAAGACAAGAGTCTTTTCAAAGTCCAGTTTCACTTCGTATTGCCATATCTGGTAAGAATAACCTCGTTTCTTCAAAATATTAACAGGTGAATGTTTTTAATATGCCTAATAATTTGGATAGCATTTTTTTTACAAGAACAAAATAAACCAATTTTTTTTTTTTTTAAACAGAGTGTACGAACGATTTATCTGGACTCGTACATCAATGGAGGAATAAACATTACAGGATTTGAAGTCTTCCAGGAAGGAAAAACTCTGCAATATAAAAGAAAATATTTGAAACCAGTAAAGGTGAGCAGAATACTGGATATTTGTTTATCACTTGACACAATAGCTGATAAATGTAGTGTGTGTCAGATATTTCTAGTTACATCAGTGCTGTTTTAATGTTAGCATTATCCTTTGCTAAACAGTAGTCCATGTTTGTTTTTTGCAGACACTGTCCAGGTCAATGCAAACTAACCACTGTTCTCGTTTGGAAACAGCAATGCAAACATTGTCACTAAAACCGTATCTGTAGTGAGCGCTTTAGGAACACATCAGCTGCAAACAGTATCACTATAATTAAAAATTAAAAAAAAGACTTACTCAGTATGTGCATGGGATTTATACAAAGAGGCAATACACGAATAATGTTACATTCTCACAATTATATGTTTCCAATTATGATATGGCTCCGCCATCTTTAAATGCATTAGATTAAATCTAAAATTAAAATATTGGCAAAACAAATCAAGTTGAGATATGGTATGTAGGAGGCAGGAGAAGACGTATGTTATAATTGCTTCATAATTTATTTGTTAATGTTACAAACATTGACGCACTACTTATTTTCTTATAAACCTCAAAAAAGTATCTCTTTCTATCTGCGTTTCTCTCTCTTCTCCTCATACCCACACACACATACACACACACACACACACTGCAAAAATTATATACAGTGGAACCTCGCTTAACGAGCATAATTCGTTCCAGAATCATACTCGTTAAGCGAAATACTCGTTATGCGAAAAAAAAATTTCTCATATAAAATAATTTAAAATACGATAATGTGTTCCATGTTGAAAATAAAATACTCACAAAATGGTATAAATAACGCTTATTCAAAGAAAATTATATACATATTGTTAGCGAGAGTGAATCATCTTCATCTTCTCTTCAAACGCGGAACGAACCCACATGAAATGCAAATTCGATTTGCAGAAAACAAAGTCGAAATAATTATGATACTTAGCTAATTATTATTATTATTTTGTTTACTCTAAAGATGTCCAGAAAATGGCGAAAATGCGACACAGCATTATCATTAAATAAATTTGCATAGCCACTTCTTTATTAGGGTGGTGCTTCTCGAAGTAAGATGCAACAGTTTGCCATGCTTTCAGCGTTTCTCTTATTTCGTCAGAAGATTGTTGCTTTTCTTTTACCTCCTCCTCTGACAAACTTTCCTCCAAAACTTCTTGCTGTGAAAAAAAAAAAAACTCCATAAGCTCTTGGGTGGTCAGCTCTTGGCTGCGCTCTTCCACTAGCTCTTCGATATCACTGTTATCTACTTAAAATCCCATGATAGTGGCCAAAGACCCAATCTCGTTGACTACAGGTTCCACAGGTACTCACTCGCTCTCTAGGTAACCCCTTCCCCCGCCTTGTCGATCATCTTGAGGCGGACAACGATATGAAAGTAATTTTTCTAAAATTCTTTGAGAGTGAGGTTGGCCCCTTTTGTCATCTGAAAATAATGCTCGAAGAGTGCTTTAGTGTAGAGCTTCCTAAAGTTGGAAATAATTTGCTGGTTTTTGGGCTGGACTAACTTTGTGGTGTTGGGAGGCAGAAACTAGATCTTGATGAACTTAACATTCTTCAGAGAGGTCATCTTGTAGACCTGGAGTATTCGTGTACATATATCACAATATAACACAAGTTTCAGAAAATGTGGGATCACAAGCGACACTACAATGATACTGGAACGATTGCTAAACACAGACTGATGTAACATGCGCACAATTCGGGACTTCCCCTTACCTCGCCACTCGTTATGCGAAACATCGCTCGTTAAGCGAGTCATTTTTTATCAATGTGTTCTGCTCGTTATGCGAATTACTTCTTATGAGAGGTGCTCGTTAAACGAGGTTCTACTGTACACTGATAATGGTATGCCAATGACAACAAAGAAAAAGGGGAGCGAATTTGGAGATGTATAGCCGGAACTGATCATAAAGATAGGGAACTTAGAAATTCAGTTAGTGATAATCTGTCTAATACCATAAATGACAGGGATTTTTTTTTGTGCAGAAAATCCTTAGGGTGAAGGACACTGCGCTGGGTCCAGACGAAGTCAGGTATGCTCACATGAAGAGCATGGGTGATGAAGACTTGAGGGAGATGGCGTGGATGGGGTACACAGCTACCCGATTCCCTTCAAAAACCAGGAAATAAACATTACAGACTCAGCGATTTTAGGATTATCACCATACAAAATACTTTTGGCAAGGTGCTTGAGAAAATTGTTACTGTTAAACTACAAACGTGTTGTGTTTGGAAAGGGAAGAGCTCCTGCCTAAATGTTGGGTAGATACCGGTCCAGGAAAGATAAATGATCAAATACAGCCCTTTTTTGATGTTTCTGAGGACATCCAGAACAGACAGGTGACGTTAGCCTTGGTAGCTGATCTTGAGGATGCCTACAATAGAGTCAGATATGATATTTTGATATATGTGATCATGAAGAAGGGAATTTGTCTTTGGTTGGCAAACTGGATAGCAGCTGTCCTGCATTCACGTAAGGTTGCCCTTTGTCTGGGTACATGGACCTCAGAACCATGTAATATCGCCCCGACACTACCTCAGGAATATGCGATTTTACCAGTGCTCTTCGGTGTGTATACAATCAAGATTGCAGAACTTGAAGCACCAGGTGTTGGAAGGATATTGGAATTTGCAGATGATGTTCTTGCATATAGGCGGAAAAGGGGGGGGGGGCGGTAGGCAACAAACAACACAAGAGCGACAGGCAACATTTAACCAAGTAAATGACTGCTGTGTAGACACCGGTGCTGTCATCAGAAAAGTTAGCTGGTTTGTCGTGTTCTCTGGACAATAGAATTTTAAGAGCCAATGTTCCAGGCCTTATTATTAATGACAGATACATCCCCCCCCCCCCCCCCCCCAAAAAAAAAATTGAGGTACCTGGATATTATTTTTTATTGAAGCCTGTCATTCAGGGATCATATTGAGACAGTTGCCGTGAAATACCAACAAATGACTCAATGCTCTGAAGATTAGGGAAGCAACGGACATAGAACAAATAATTATGTTCACATTGTTCCAGCATATGATCCTCTCGGTGATAGGTTATGGACTTGCAGTGCTTATCGTATCAAAGAGTCAGCTGATGAAACTTGAACGCATACAGAATGAAGCGCTGCGGGTAATTCTGGGATGTGAGGTGGAAAAAGAGACCAGGCTGTAATTGATATATACTTACATTGTCTACTATTGCAAATAGGCTCAAAGTTCTGCATATCTCAGAGTAGCTGTAGACAAAAAGCACCTTCTGCATCAAGCTATAGGAAGAGCTTAGGGTCAGAGATTGAAAGGAGGATGGTCTTGGATGGCGTAGGCTAAAGATACGATTGGACATTTGTGCAGGCTTGTAAGTTTGGGCGAGGGAGAGAAGTTGATGGAAATATCCGAGCAAAAATCACATGTGTAGACTTCTGATAACCTTAGGCCTCGAGTGCAGGGACTGGCCAGCTGGTGCTGCAGAATCAAAAGTTCAACAAATGATTCGCGGCAATTCCCGCACATTTAATGTAATTATCTATACAGATGTTTCTTTCTTGAGAGGCAGACGAAGAGCATGGGGCTCATAGCAAAATGGAGCCTGGCGTATGTTATCGCAAAGTATAGTTTGAGAATCGCTGCCGCCTTCCGCTAGCTGGAGAATAAGCTATACGTACATGGGGTAGTTTTATCCGTACAGAATGGCAAGCGTCGCTTCAGCGGTCCCTGGTTGTTAGCGTCGATTTTATATTTTATCCAGGTCTTGCCGGTGTATTGGGAAACGAACAGGCAGACACTCTGCACTACTTGGTGGTGAATTGATGTAGGACAAAACTTTTGGGAACGAATGAACAGTGTATATGCACAAAAAGATCGTTACGGTCTGTGGAGAATGGTGCTGCGAGGATTTACCAGGGGATCTGGCCGACGCTCAAGACTCAAGGGCAAGGCGGGACGGCTATATACTTGTACAATCAGACAGTTAGATGGGGACAGAGCGCTTTTGGGAGTGTGATGAGTACTGTGACTTTGATTCTTAATTGAACATTCAGCAGTGGTCAAGAATGATTCAACATCTACAGGAATGGAGTCCAGATAAATATTGCGTCGCCTACAAATTCTTGACAATGTAAACGTCAAAGGAGGGGGGGGGGGGGGGGGGGGGTTGGCCGAACGGTTAAAGCACGGAGCTCAGGGAGCAGTTAAGGGTCAGCGGCTGATAAGAGGGAAGTGATGGATGGCTCAGGCAGAAGACACACTGAGACAGGTTTGCATCCTGAAGAACATTAGGGGAGGAGAGGAGTGGGTCAGAGTCAGAACAGTCACACTTGTGTAGGGTCATAATCACGCTGAGCCGGGAATGCAGAGACTTGCCAGCAGGTGCTACCGAGGTGTAAATTCAGCATTTAACTCAAGGTGATGCTCGATCAGTGGATGTGATTTTTTATACAGACGGTTCAGTGATACGAGGCAAAAGAAGTGCTTGGTTTTTTTTTTTTTTTTTTAAGCAAATGTTAATGGTCGACTTTTGGTGCAGGAGGGCCTAGCATATAATACCACAACATCCAGCTTAAGAATGGAGGTGGAGGTGGTCACCGCAGCTTTCCACTGGTTACAGAACAAGACAAACACATATATCGTAATTGTAACTGACTCAGAAAGCATGATGAGGAAGGTCATGACAGGCATGCTTCGTGCAGAGTGGCATGCTTCACGGGTTAGGAGCATTGTCTTAATTTTTCTCAGGGAGACGTTGGTGTGTTGGGAAATGAACAGGCGGAGATACTAAATGGTGGAATACTGATGCATAATTAGATAGACGTGTTTAGTGCCTTGTGGGAGAGCTTGTACAGTTCGGAGCGGCAAATAGATCACGACAGTCAGATGAGATTGATGAAGCAGGGAGTGACGAGGTGTTCTGGCGGATGCTCAAGGCTTAGATAAAACGCAAGACGGACGTTTAATCCTTTAGTATTGGAATCTTACACTGGCTGATAAAGATGGGGACGGAGTGCTTTTGTGAATGTTCTGAGTGATGTCATGTCGGTTCTTGAATCAACTTTACTTAACTCAAGCGAGGGACCCGGGTGTAATAAGGTTTCTAGGGGTGAATAAGTAACGCTTTACCCAGATCTGTGAAAATTCCCAAGTCGACTTTCTGGCGACTAAGTGGGTTCCCCACCTAAAAAAAGTAAAGTAAAGTAAAGATCCCTTTTCACGCCTTTCGGCGCATCGGGCATATGGGCAGAGCGTCCCATATTTTTACAGACCATCAGCACTCTGTGGGTAATGAGGTCCGTATTATGCCGGCTGTCTTTACTTTCCCAGGACAGCCCATCCTGGTACCCATTTTAGGCTGGGTCGACCTGCGACGTCCCATACCACGAGAAAAATCCACGCAGCCAGCAGTGGGTTTCGATCGCGGTATGCTGGCTTACGAGTCGGACTCGCAACGCCTTAGCCACGGACGCCGCGGGTTCCCCACCTGACAGTGCCTAACAAACATAGTTCACATAGTCACATCGTACGACTAAAACCGATACCCGTCAACAACAGCATCCTAATAGTCATCTCTATAATCGTGCATCAGTCTTTTAATTGGGCCGAATACAAGGTGACAAAAATGAATTGGTCATTATCAAACTACTGTCCGTCCATATTCCCCAGATACCCATTGGTATACTTCCAAGGCGGTATTACCTCAAAGGGCGAAACCTAGCCTTGGCTTGACGTGAGTGCCCAACATCAACACCTTCGGTTTACGGCCCCCTCCTGTTGTCACCAGAAGCCTTTAATAAACACCTCGGTTATGTGCCCACACTTTGGGTGACTAAAAACCTATACATTAAAAGTTACTATAGGCTGTTCCAACGTCACTACGCATCCACGACATGCAGTCGCGGTCAGAAATCCTATCACCGAACTGTCTAAAGACCCTACTAGGGCACACCAAGTCTCCCCGCAAAATATAAGTGTTAGGCTCTTTACGCCTTGTCTCCAATAACACTCAATTGAAGCATACCTTTATTCTAATTAATCGTCCAACTTTAACAAGAATTAAAAAAAAAAAATATACATAATCACTACTAAAAATCACACATGTCTGAATTCTCTTACAGACTGAGGGGCACTGACTGATTCAGCTACCCTTAGGACTCTTCCACCAATGATTGCACGTTAATCTCACATTCTCCAGAACCCTCAGGGTACTTCACCTGACAGTCACAATGCGTCTCACAGTCCCCATTGAGATCGCTGTTAGTCGTTGGTCTCAAGAAAACCGTGTCTCACAATTTATCCGTGTAGACTTTTTGCACTCGCCTCTGCCATCATCATCATCATCTAGCACCTTCTCGACTTGCGTAGGCTATCACACCTCTGACGCCTGAAACAGATGAACAGCAAAATGACTTTAGCACACAACACCAGGTTCGAATCCTTGGTATGACTGGGGGTTGTTTTTTTTTTTTTTTGGTCTGTAAGGGGCAAAATAAAATCCTCACCTGCACGGTCTATAAGGCAACAATAACATTTGTAAAGATAGAGGGCATCAAAAATTCACTCAAAACATTCTTAGTCTCTGACACCACTATTTGCAAACGATGATTCTAAACATTACTGTTTTCTTTTTCTCTGTATTTCTTCCCTACCTCTTCTTTTTTCTCCGTCCATTTTGTTCACTGCTTACTCCATCCATTCTTACTCTTCCTTGCTCTTCTTCTTCTTCTTCTTCTTCTTCTTCTTCTTCTTCTTCTTCTTCTTCTTCTTCTTCTTCTTCTTCTTCTTCTTCTTCTTCTTCTTCTTCTTCTTCTTTTCTTCTTCTTCTTCTTCTTCTTCTTCTTCTTCTTCTTCTTCTTCTTCTTCTCAATCTTCTTCTTCTTCTTCTTCTTCTTCTTCTTCTTCTTCTTCTTCTTCTTCTTCTTCTTCTTCTTTCTTCTTCTTCTTCTTCTTCTTCTTCTTCTTCTTCTTCTTCTTCTTCTTCTCTTCTTCTTCTTTTCTTCTTCTTCTTCTTCTTCTTCTTCTTCTTCTTCTTCTTCTTCTTCTTCTTCTTCTTCTTCTTCTTCTTCTTCTTCTTCTTCTTCTTCTTCTTCTTCTTCTTCGTCTTCTTCTTCTTCTTCTTCTTCTTTTTCGTCTTCTTCTTCTCATCTTCTTCTTATTCTTCTTCTTTTTCTCTTCTTCTTTCTTCTCTCTTCTTCTTCTTCTTCTCTTCTTCTTCTTCTTCTCTTCTTCTTCTTCTTCTTCTTCTTCTTCTTCTTCTTCTTCTTCTTCTTCTTCTTCTTCTTCTTCTTTTCCTTCTTCTTCTTCTTCTTCTTCTTCTTCTTCTTCTTCTTCTTCTTCTTCTTCTTCTTCTCTTCTTCTCTTCTTCTTCTTCTTCTTCTTCTTCTTCTT